ATACTCTGCGAATGAATTTTTCTCCAACCTACCCTCTATTGTCAGGTCTGGAACATGCTTATAAAGATGGGCAAAGCAAAATGCCAAAAGGTGTCAAGGAAGCATTTCTATTTGCAGGTAACACAGTGTACTGATTATTTTCTCAGCCTCCCTTTATAGAAGCATCTAACATATTACCCTGGTAATAGGTAGTTCTGCAATTACTTAGCATTTAAGTGATTTCAAGAGACACTCTGCTGTATTTCAGACAAAGGAAAACACATACTTCTAAAAAAAAGTTAGCTATCTCAGTTTACTACAGTATTGGGTAATTACTCTACCACAAATGCCTCTTTTATGCTAAAAATCTCAAGTGAAACTGGATACCAGAAATAAAAAGAACATACCGTGTTTCATTTCAATAACAGGCAGATTGAACAGCTGCTGAACTAAATTCAAATGGATCTTGCCATCGCAGAGGAGAACATCTTTTGTTTCTTCAGTAACTGCTCCATTTGAAAAACTTTTCTTCAAATGCGTATATGTAAAGGAAAAGATCTTGTTAAAGGCTTAGACATTGTGCCTGAGTTCTTTTAACCATTCCTCTGCTCTTACGCCTTTCAGTTCTTTAGTAATTTTGCTTTTTCTTTGTCTGTCTTTGCTACAATTTATAGATGACACCATCATGCAGTGCAATTCTAAGCGCAATCTCATAGTCCCATGTGAAGAGGAATATGCCTCTTTGCTTTTTGCTTTGTGTGCTTATGCAGCTCAAAACTGCATCAGCCTTGTATATATAATGTATTAGGTCATGCATATAGGTGTCCCTTGGGCCTTTCTGCCTGAAGAGTCAATTCAGTGGAAGGGAATGTATCATGCCTGGAATAAAGTTGTCCAAGACGCTACCAGAGCAAATGACTACTCTGCTCAGTTTCAGTTGTACGCGTGGGTGGTTTTGATAGTCATTGGTCAGCAATTCCACCCCAGTAAAATAACCTCAGTTCTGGCACAGAGAGAATTGCAGAGAGACAGGACATAGCGACTGTCTCTCTGAAAAGCTGGCATGACAAGGTAGCTCAGGAATCCTGTGATTTTCTTTGAGAGAGAGGGAAGGTATGGATTTACAGCCCTGGAATTTGCTCTGACATTCACTAAAAGAACAAACTTGAACATAAAGGTGTTCATGCTTCATGAAGTTTAGCTGGCCTTGAGAATCGACACCTTTGTGTTCCATGTTGTGGTTTAACCCCAGTCAGCAACTAAGCACCACACAGCCACTCGCTCACCCTCCCCCCTGCCAGCGGGATGGGAAAGAGAATCGGGAAAAAAAAGTAAAACCCAAGGGTTGAGATAAAGGCAGTTTAATAGGACAGCAGAGGAAGAGAAAGTAATAATAACAACAACGATAAAAGAATGTACAAAGTGATGCACAATGCAATTGCTTCCCACCTGCTGACCGATACCCAGCCCGTCCCCGAGCAGTGATCGCAGCTCCCCGGCCAGTCCCCCCCAGTTTCTATACCGAGCACGACGCCATATGGTATGGAATAGCCCTTGGGGCAGTTTGGGTCAGCTGTCCTGGCTGTGCCCCCTCCCAGCTTCTTGTGCACCTGGCAGAGCATGGGAAGCTGAAAAGTCCTTGACTGGTGTCAGCACTACTCAGCAACAACTAAAACATCAGTGTGTTATCAGCATTACCTTCATACTAAACCCAAAACACAGCACTATGCCAGTCACTAGAAAGAAAATTAACTCTATCCCAGCTAAAACCAGGATATTCTGTCATTCTGATTTACTCCAAAGTGCAAGGACCACAAAATAGTTGAGCTAATATGGTTACGGAGTGGATATGTATTTGCATTTACATTTTCCTATCTGCTATCATTTGAAAGTCATTTTAGCATTAAAAATTTTCCAGTTACTCAGTGCCATTATAAAATATATGTGAATTGGACATTTTATTCTAAATAATCTTGTTTGTCCTCTGAATTTCATTGTGTTCTTCCCTCTCCATACTGTCCACCTGTGTAGTTCCCATGTGTTATGGTTTGGGGGTTTTTTTCCCTTTGGCATCCCTTATGTTTGCCATACCCCCAGATTTAACATATTTGTTATTTGAATGAACAGTCTATTTATCCCATTTCCTAGACCTTTCTGCTTTGTACATTCAGAAGGGTTCCAAGTTTTAGAATGGGTTGAAAAGATGTCATCTATCCTAACTGTTGTTCTAGTCCTACCCTGTCTGTGTCTGCTTCGTAGACTTGAATCTTTCTTGCTAATATGAAACTTACAGTTGAATGAATTCACAACTGCATCTTCTATTTCTGTGCATAGTAATCTAACCTTTGACTAAATAAATGTCTTTTAATGTGTGTCTTCAATTCTAATTGTGCTGTCTTTTGACTCAGTCGCTCTTTTAGTGAACATGTGCTTTTCTTGCTGTATAACAACCTTTCTAAATCAATCACTTTCATTTTTCTGTACATGGTATGTATACTGTCATGCAGCCACATTGGATTCTGTAAATCAGAATGTCTACCAACTGCTGCAAAAGTATTTTTTCCCCACTCTATCATAAATTTGCTATGCAGATAGTCTATGGCTGATGGTTATTTATTTATGTATTATGGTTGACTGAAGATGTAAGAACTGTAAAAATATCATTCCGTTAAAAATGTAAACTTTCCAACTTTCAAAGGTCTTTTCATCTCTTTCCTCATTCAAAACAGCCAGAAATGTGTTGCTGTGCAATTAATAGGAAAATACCCAAGGAATGCATCAAAGAAGTATCATTTTCTTAGTCATAAACCTATAGTAACTTTTTAACTATATAACAGAACTTCTTTGTCATTTTTAGGTCTCTTCAAATTATATAGTACTATATTCTGTTGAACCTAAATCCACTGAAAACTCAATGGGCTGAATGTTCAGCAATGAGCACGTGCTTTGCATTTACATTGCAGAGATGCTGTTTGCCTGTACAGGTATTTGTGCAAAGCTTTTCATTGCTGCATTTTGTGGATTAGCACATCTAACAACTACTTCATTTTCCTGAGTTCAGGGTGAAATAGCAGAGTTTATTCAAACTTGTACTTCGGTCAATGAATCATAGAAAAAGGTGGACTCTAAATGAGACAGGCACATTGCCTTGACCCGAGTGGTTCCTTTTTTCACGTAGGCACGCTTCAACTCAAGAATAATCAGAAAACAATCTAGCTCTGCCTCTGTTGACTTGAAATCAGTTGAATGGAAATGCATACTAAGGATGACTTCATTCTAGTATGTTTCCTACTTAGCCTTGCAAGTTATTATTGAAACAGCCATTAGAAGTGGAAGACATTTTTGTATATACAAAACTACATGGCATCTATTTTTTTTTCCTAACCAGTTTTTCAAGCACAGACCTCAAAGCTTAAGTTTCAGAGTTGTTTTGTCTTTCATCATTTGTGAGCATTCATATTAGCTATTCTCTCTGTCTTTGTCGTATACTTCTGTTTATAATGGTAAACTTAATCATCTCTACCTTTATTTTTGTCTGCTGGCAAATTCTGTCCGGTCACGAATCTTCCTCTGTTTCAATCTTCTAATTATTTAGCCTTTTTTGTTTAATGTTTAGTGTAGGTGATGATAACATGCCTCCTCTTTGAGGAATATGTTCACACATGTCATATCATAGATAACTGATTTAAACCCATGCCTTCTTGAGAGGTAGGTAACTGTTAGTACTCCCTTTTAATAGATGATCAAACCATTACACGGAAAGATGAAGAGATTCACTCAAGGTCATGGAAGTAATTTGTGACAGAGTTAGAAATACAACTAAAATCTCATCTTAGTACTTCCCATTTTCATGCCTTAACCCAAAGACAATTTTCTAGTCAAATGTAAATTTAATCCACATCTTCCCAAACTGCGTATCTGTTTTTGCTGTGTTGCTGTTTATCTCCAATAGAACCCAGAGGATTTGCCATTCTCAGATTAAAATCCCTTAATGTTAGTTGTTTTATCCTAAACCAAAGTTTATTGGCAGACTAAGAACATATTAATCACAGAAGAAACAAATGTATTTCCACATATGTGAGTGGATATTTTCACATTAAGTTTCTTTAGCCAACTTCGTGTAGTATGTCAAGTCCAACTCTCCAGAGAAGAGTTTTGATTCATGGTCAGCTTGTAGTCATTTAACACGTGCAAGCTTTTGTCATCCTTGGTTATTTCCAGCTAATGAATATCCAGTTTGTAGCAGAAATTCCTTCTGTTAATCCTGGAATATATCACTATGTGCTTCATATTTGTTCATTTCAATCCATTTTTTTTCATTCTAGATGCTAAGGTCATCAAATTACAGGTGCGATATCCAGATCCTCTATTGAAAATACTACTACTGTATGCCATATGCAGATTGTATTAGTATATCTCATCAGATCACTAATGAAACTTTTAGATTAGCCTGAAGATCTATCATGAGAAAATCCACTAGTAAATTTCTTCCTTTTTTTTTTACATTACTATAACCATTTTCTATCTTCCTTCCAGCTAATTCCTCAACCATCTTATATTTCCTCTATTAATCCCTATTCTCTGCTGTTGAACAAATAATTTTCCCTGTGTCACAATTTCAAGTACTGTACTTAATTACAGGTATTTTAAATATTATTAATTTCATATCCTTTGTGTTAATAATCTGTTCTTTTATAAAGGAAAGGTATCAGGTTAGTCAGCCACATCTCTGCATTGTAGGATGAATAGTGCTGTAGTTGCCTAGAATTCTGTTTTCGTTTTCTTAAACCCTTGATTTCAGCTCTTTGTGTTGTGCTTGAGTGGTAATTTCAGTTCTGATGCCTTAGTACCCATTAGTCAGCTTGCTTTTGCCTTGCCCCCACATTCATTGTGTGGGATGAGAAAAAACTAGTAAATTAAATAGACGTGGGGGTTCTGGCCCAGGAGACAATGAAAAGAGAGTTAAATGGCTAAGGAAGAGTGCTGAAGAGGAATGAGAAGTATGATTTTTGACATTCAAAGTACTGTGTCTCATTAAGCCTTGTGCAGCATTGCCACAGGTAGTGTTAATTAGGTTTGGCAGCCTGCACTGCTCCGCCTTCCTGTCATGATTTCTACTGTTGTTGTGATTCCCATTTGATTTTTGGTGGATCCTGATTTTATTTTGGTGGAGACCTTAATATCTTTGCTTACCCTTATGTGGGACATTCCAACTGCAACCCTAATTAAACTGTCAGAGCAGCATATGCCTGTAAAATGTTTATGTTGGAAGAGATGTGAGGTGCTCGGGGTGCTTAAATCCCAGTGCAGTTTGCATTTATAGTGCACATCAGCATTTCAGATGATATGATGCTAGGATTTCTCTACTCTTGGCTCCCTGTTGATAGCTCTGCAACTACTGTTTCAGGTATATTGTCATCTAAGATACACCCTTTGTCCTCATGCTTGCGCTTCCATGATCTTTGTGTTTTGAGTGTGGGGATTTTTTAACTCAGGTCTTTGCTTTCTTTGCACAGTACGAAAACTTTGATGCATTTTTGACATTATATATTCCTTTTCTTTTGTGTCTATGTATCCAACAAACAAATCATCTGCTCTAATAAAAGGCATTGTGTCTCCTGTACAAACCCTGCTTGTCTGCTATTGATCGGTTTCAGAAAATTGTTGTCAGAATTTGTTCTTAACAAACTCCTCAACCTTTGCTCAAAATGTTATCCATGCATTAATCACACCTTCTCTTGACTACTGCAGGTCTTTCTTTTATGGTTATCCTAAATCTCTTCCTTCTAAACTTCAGGATGGCTGACTAGTTTCTTACTCCAGGGAGCAGTCATATCACCTTACTCTTCCATCATTTTCATGACTTTCTTTCTGTTGCTCAACCTGAGTCAAAATTGCCCTTTGGATTTCAAAAAGGTTCGTGGTCTTACTACAGCTGATCATTGCAGCCTGGTCTTTGCTCATTTTACTGTGCCACCCTTATACCGCCCTTCTTTATCTCTACTTCATGTATTTCTATCAGGAGAACTTTATTGCCATATGTTTTGATCCTTTCTATTCACATCTCAGCTCTGTGTAAAAAAATTGCTTATTTTATAACTGACCTTGGCAATAAAGTTTCCCATAGTAAATTGTATGAAGATGCTATAAAAGTACAAATTGACTTGTATACAATTATTGGTGAGTGCTAAGAAAAGGAAATCATTGTGACTAATTGCTGAAAAGATATTTATTTCCTGTTTAATTATGCAATATGTGCTCTCAGTGATATACACTTTTGACATAATACTGCTTGTGAGCAAAATGTAGGAGTTTTAAGATAGTCTTCAGATTAAGATGAATCTTATTCCTTCTGGAGAGGTTTGCCTAAATGCCATTAATTTCAAATCCAGATTGGCTTTATTTCCACTGTAATTAGCTTTCGAATGAGGCTAGTTTAAATATTCTGCAGCTGTTTCTTTTCTGGGGATGATAGAAGTCTCTTTTTGCAAAATGAAACAGAAACAAATCTGTGACAGATCCTTATCTCTTCTTTTTTTTTTTCTTTTTAAATAATATCCTCTTATTGTGTTTGTCTGTCTGCCCTCCCACACTATCCTGAATCACAAGTCTGTATGTGATGAAAGAGCAATAATATTTGCTTTTCAGGGTTGAATGACCAAGTCATCTCTGGTGGCTGAATGCTATTACACAAGTGATAGTGCAGTGACATTTCCAAAGTGTGAGTGATCATGGTTTTCTTTTATGGCTATGGGCTGCAAAGAATATAAATTCTGGTAGCACTGCCTGGACGTGACTTCAGGGGAGTTATAGGTAGGCTAGCACTAACAGAATAAACAAAGGTTCTGAAGACTATTTAGTGAGCAGACATTATGAATTATTAAGTAATACACATTCTGGTTTGTATTCTGGTTTTCTAAGCAGAACCTGAAACATACATAAATATGTCAATAGTGCTTCTGCACAACAGTGTTCGTAATTGTCCATTAATTATTTTATCTATTATGTTTTAAACTTTTCTTTTATGTTTTTAATGCATAAATATGGTTATGCAGTACTGATCATTATATTTTATAGTACAATAGATTTCTCAATCAAGATTGAGCCTCTGCTGTGCTGGGGATTATACAAACACTTAAGAAGACATGCACTTGGCACAAAAAGCTGAAAGATAATGGCCATATTATTGACTGGACTGCAGTGTTCCTAAAGCTTGGAATGTTTTCCACAGGCTGATATTTATATCATAAGGCAATAAAGCTATTTCCTGACTTTTTGCACTGTGAACACAGAGCCTGGCTGGAACCCACAGCCCAGCTGGTTTCTGAGCTCACAGAGCGCTAATCAACTCCTGAAGGAGGAGCAAAGTTCAGATGTCTGAATCCAAACTAATCAAAACAACTATTTTCTGAGAAAATTATTAGCTGCCTATGAAGCAAATATTTCCCTGTCTGTCTGGAGGCCTTTTTGCCATCAGTCTATTTTTCATTATTTTTTGGCATCATGCTGCGATCCTGTTAGATTTCAGAAGAGGGGCTGAACTATGCAAGGCATTAGTTGAGACTTACACAGAAAAGCTGTGTGTGTGTCGGAAAGACTTTTTCTGAGTCATTGTAATGCGGTACTAGCGGTGCTTTCTGCTGGCTCAATGTGAAACTAACCTGTTCAGATAAATAAGAGTTTTCCTTCCTAAATCCAGTTAGTCTAGCAGTATTTTACAAGCACTAATTTTTTTTTTTTTTTTTTTT